GATTTTATTTATTTATTTGTCAGAGAGAGAGAGAGAGAACACAAGCAGGGGGAGCTGCAGGTAGAGGGAGAAGCAGGCTCTCTGCTGAGTAAGGAGCCTGACTTGGGAGTCAATCCCAGGGCCCTGGGATCATGACCTGAGCTAAAAGCAGATGCTTAACTGACTGAGCCACCCAGGTGCCCCAATCTACTTTTTTTCTATGGATTTGTGTAATGGACATTTCACATAAATGAAATTAAATAATACGTATTTTCGTGGGGTGCTCAGTTGGTTGAGTGTCCAACTCTTGGTTTTTGGCTTGGGTTATGGTCTTGGGGTCATGGGATTGAGCCCTGCGTTGGGCTCCCTGCTCAGCCTGGAGTCTGCTTAAGATTCTCTCTCCCTCCCCCTGCTCTGCACCCTTGGCTTGTGCACACACATTCTCTCTCTCTCTAAAATAAATGAATAAAAATAATAAAATCTTAAAAAAATAACATGTGGTTTTTGTGTCTGGATTTTTTCACCCGCATAATGTTTTCAGGTACATTCCTGTTGTAGCATGTATCAGCACTTAATTTCTTTTTATAGATGGGTAATAGTCCATTATATGAATATATGCATTTTATCCATTCATCAGTTGCTGGATATTTTGATTGTTTCCTACTTTTGGCTACTATGAATAATAGTGTTATGAAAATTTGTATAGAGGCTTTTTGTATGGACATACATGTTTTCAGTTCTCCTTGGTATATACTGAGGAGTGGAGGTCTTGGGTCATGTGGTTACTTTACGGATAACTTTTGGAGGCAATCCCAAACTGTTTTCTAAAAGGGCTGCACCATTTTACAATCCTACCAGCAATGAATGAGGGTTCCTAGCTCCACATCCCTGTCAGTCATTATTGTCTATCTTGTGATTTTAGTCATCTAATGCGGGTGAAGTGGGAGCTCATTGTGGTTTTGATTTGCCTTTCCTTGATGACTAATAATGTTAAGCATCCTTTTATTGGCCTTTTGCATACTTTCTTTGGATATGAAATGTATATTCAAATACCTTGCTTATTTTTAATTGAGTTTCTTGTCTCATTTTTGAGTTATAAGTATTATTTACATATTCTAGACATAAGTCCCTGATCAGGTTTATGATTTGTAAGTATTTTCTCCCATTCTGTCCATTGTCTTTTCATTTTTTTTATAGTATGGAGATGACCCAACTTGGACCAAGAGGAAAAGAAAAACACTTAAGGATGGTGGAGCAGTAACAGAGAAGAAGGATCTGATTCATGAGAGAGAAATAAACTTCTACTTTGTGAATCACTGATAATAATTGTGTCATACATCCAATAGTACATTTTCCCTTTTCAAATGCCTTCATATCCATTACTGGACTATGTTTCCATAGAAGCTCTGTGATATAGGTAGAACCATGTTATTCCCATCTTACAAAAGAGAAACCTGAGACTCAGAGAGCTCAGTGACTGACATGGTGTCACACAGCTTGTGGGTGCAAAGCGGCAATGAATTCTTAGCACCAAGGCTCCCTGCCTCCTACCATCCCTGAGCTCTTAGCTGGGGAGTAGAGAGAGGTATATTTTGTCTTAAGGGAAGAAGGTGGATGGTCACAATACACCTTTGGTCAGAAGTCTAGACTCTGCTTCTCTTTATTGTGTACACTTTTATAGTGACTTAAACTTTTTGAGCCTTTGTTTCCTTATTTATAAATTAAAGAGTTGGACAGGTTGATGCTCTGAATTTCCTACCAGGTGTAAATTTCGTTTAATATAATTATACTGCTTCTAGGTAATTGTTATGCTAAATATATGCTCATATGGCATAACCACCTCAGCTAAACTTAAAATATATTGGGAAGTTCTTTTGGATGCCAGTTTAACAAGGCAGGTGCCCTTAAGCAGCCACAGAGATATAGGGTGCCTACATGGCTCAGTCAGTTAAGCGTCTGACTCTTGATTTTGGCTCAGGTCATGATCTCAGGGTTGTGAGATTGAGCCCCGTGTTGGGCTCTGTGCTCAGTGAGGAGTCTACTTGAGATTCTATCTCTCCCTCTGCCCCTCCCCCCCAACTCTCTCTTTCTAAAATAAATACATCTTTAAAAAAGAGAGAGAGAGAGAGAGAGAGATGTGGCTTCACATAAGACCTTTTGGAAGTCACTCCATGTCTCTGCTTGAATTTCCCCATTGTGGAATGAAAATTAAAGGAAATAATGTGTGTAAAATGCTGATTACAGCCCCTGACACAGGTAGGGACTCAATCAATGACAAAATAACTATTATTATACAAGATAGATGTGCAATCCATTAACCCCCTGATAACAAGAGGTCAAGATTGCATGTGATAGAGTTCACATGTACTCACAGAGAAGCCTGTCTGAGGAAGCCAGAGGACGACTCTTGGGAGAAATAGGATATTCTTAGGCTCTCATTTTAATGAAATCTTTATGAATGCCAAAGGCTGCACTGATCAACTATGATCCTGGGACCCCAGACAGGCTCTCTTCTTGGGTTGAATGCTGTCACACAAACATCATTACCCGGAAAAAAAATGAAAGAGGGGTTTGGGATGGCATTGTTGACTGAGTAAGAGTTTAGGGAGAGGAAATCAATTTAGAAAAGTAAAGATAATTGTTCTTGCTAGCACTGGTATGATTTCATTTCCATGTTCAGAGAGAAGATAAAAACCCCCAAGTTGTATCTAGTAAAGAGCAAAATGCCTGCCCTGCCCTAGGGAAGCCTGTTTTGCAGAGAGATCTCTCAGCTCCCAGTCCAACATTAGAGCTCAGAGCTGCAGCTGTGGTTTCAGTTTCCTGGGGAACAGGATGCATAATGTGTCAGTCCTGAAGGGAAGCCCTTTCTTTTCTCCTCAGATGAAAGATTGCCTCTACCATCCCCCATATGACTTCATCTCTTGTTCTTTCATCTGCCTGAGACCACAGATGTCCAGGACTCTGGAGTTATGCAATCTAATCTTCCAAAAAACTGTGTTTATATGGTCTCAGAGTCTGCTGCTGCCTTATCTGATGAAGCTGCACTGGGACATCTTATTTGAAACATCCCAGGAGAGAAAACTGGTTATAACTTTCCTTATAGGTTAAGGTAGCAACACTGATTACGGCATGGCAGGTAAACAGGACTCTGCTCAGAGTTGCTTTTATAATATGACCTTCAAAGCTCAGCAGAGTGAAAATATAATGATGAAACATTTAAACATTTAAATTAAAACTTTTTTGGGGGCTCCTGGGTGGCTCAGTCGTTAAGCGTCTGCCTTCGGCTCAGGTCATGATCCCAGGGTCCTGGGATCGAGTCCCGTGTTGGGCTCCCTGCTCCGTGGGAGGCCTGCTTCTCCCTCTCCCACTCCCCCTGCTTGTGTTCCCTCTTTCAGTGTGTCTCTCCCCGTCAAGTAAATAAATAAAATCTTAAAAATAAATAAATAAAATAAATAAATTAATTAATTAAAACTTTTTTTCAAGGCCCTTGTTACTCTGATGTTCTCCTTGACTTCTGTGGGAAATAGTTTACAGTCTGTATTTAAAAAAAATTTATTCCTAAGCATAAAACTGGGAAGTTATCCTCAAGCATTTCTTCCTTGTGGGTGACTTGCTGCCCTGTTGCCTCCACCCAAGGATAATTAGCCCCCTAATGATTTCTCACGTGAACACCTACCTTGTTCCATCAAAATGTACCTCTCCTGCTGCCTATCTTCTCTATATCTTCCTCTCTGCTTTATAGCTAACTTAAAGAGAGTAGGAAAAATAGCAAGAGAGAGGGAGAGAAGGGGAGAGAAAGAGGAAGATTTAAACCCACGAATATGTTAATATAAGTTGCAATTTCCTTATCTATAAAGTAAAAATAAAACCAGAAACAGTCAAACTGAATTAAAATATATTTAGGCCTGGGGCACCTGGGTGGCTCAGTCGGTTAAGCGTCTGACTTTTTTTTTTTTTTTAAAGATTTTATTTATTTATCAGAGAGAGAGACAGACAGAGGCAGGCAGAGGGAGAAGCAGGCTCCTTGCTGAGCAAGGAGCCCGATGTGGGACTCGATCCCAGGACCCTGGAATCATGACCTGAGCCGAAGGCAGAGGCTTAACCGACTGAGCCACCCAGGTGTCCCAAGCGTCGGACTCTTTAATTTCTGCTCAGGTGATGATCTCAGGGTCCTGGGGTTGAGCCCTGTGTTGGGCTCTGTGCTCAGTAGGGAGTCTGCTGGAGATTCTCTCCCTTTCCCTCTACTCCTTCCCCTGCTCATGCTCACACTTCCTCTCTCAAATAAATAAATAAATCTTTAAATCTATCTATCTATCTATATATATAGGCCTGCAGTTGAGGAAAATGCTCAGATTACTTCAGATAATGGTGCTTTATTGTAGAGATTCATAGGGAAGTAAGTGAGAAAGCAAAGGAAGCTGGTTCAGCGGAGGATGAGTAGGTGGCATGGAGAACTAGAATGTTCTCCAGAAGACCACAGCCACCTAGTGGTCCAGTAGCAGCTCTTGGTGGTCTGTTCTTGGGATTCAGGAACCCTCCATCTCTGTATCAACAGCTACTACTTCTGACAGCCAAATGATTTTTCTGACTAATCTCTGGTCTCCTGCCTACTCACTCAAGGCTTCTCCAGCCTCATGAATTTGCTTCCTGCCATCTTTCTGTAGATATTTCTGCTCCTTGCTACTCTACTCTCTGCACCTTACAACAAAACTCTCCAATCAGGAAAACCAAAACCAAAACCAAAAACCTCGGGCGCCTGGGTGGCTACAGTTGGTTAAGCGACTGCCTTCAGCTCAGGTCATGATCCCAGGGTCCTGGGATCGAGTCCCACATCGGGGTCCCTGCTCTGCGGAAAGCCTGCTTCTCCCTCTCCCACTCCCCCTGCTTGTGTTCCCTCTCTCGCTGTGTCTCTCTCTGTCAAATAAATAAAATCTTTAAAAAAAAAAAACCAAAAACCTCTCTAATCAGAGTTCCATTGATTGCTCCCTAGTACAATTACCCACAGATTTTTCCAAACTTACCTTTCCTCTTGGCTCATGTTAATAGTTCTTAGAGATTGATCAGGAGTAGAATGACACCTTTACAGGTTTATCAGACTTGGTTTTCCCCATGTGCTTTCTTGCTTCACTCCTAGTCCACAAACATGTATAGAGTGCCGGTGATATACCAAATACTATGCCAAGTACTGTGGATAGCAAGATGACAGAACATGAATCAGACTAAGAGAGACAACCCAGAAAAGAAACAATTGAAATTTAGTGATGCATTTGTTTTCTAGGATTGCTATGACAAATTGCCACAAAATGGGTGGCTTAAAACAGCAGAACTTAATCTCTCACAATTCTGGAGGCTAAAAGTCTAAAATCAAGGTGTCAGCAGGGCCATGCTCCCTCTAGCTTTTGGTAGTTGCCTGCAATCCTTGGCATTCCTGGGCTTGTAGACACATCACTCCAATCTCTGCCTCAGATTTCACATGGTGTACTCCTTGTGTGTCCCCGTGTCTTCACATGGCCTTCCTTTAGTGACACCAGTCATTGGATTTAGGACCTACCCTAATCCAGTATGATCACATCTGCAAAGATCCTATTTATTTTTTTTAAAAAAATTTATTTATTTATTTAGTGAGTGAGTGAGCGAGAGAGAGAGAGCACCAGAGGGGGAGGGTCAGAGGGAGAAGCAGACTCCCCCCTGAGCGGGGAGCCCGATGCAGAGCTCAATCCTGGGACTCCAGGATCCTGACTTGAGCCGAAGGCAGACGTTTAACTGACTGAGCCACCCAGGCTCTGTGCAAAGATCCTATTTATAAATAAGATTACATTCATTCACTGGTTCCTGGTGGACATGAATTTTGAGGTGACACTATTCAATCCAGCATGGGTGGTAAAGCGTACACTGGTTGGGGGAGTACAGGGTGCTCCACAGAGGATACTTACTCCCTTCCTCTTTGAATAATGGCTGCCTACTGGCCTGATCTAGTCATAGAAAGTCCAGCACAACTGAGCAGCATAGGAGAAGCAATAATGGTAAAGAGTTACCATTTGTTGAATGATTGCTTTGTATGACAGGCATCATAATAGGTGCTTTATATAGAATTAAATTTAATTCACACAACACCATAATTAAATAATAGTATTCCAGGGGCGCCTGGGTGGCTCAGTCGTTAAGCGTCTGCCTTTGGCTCAGGTCATGATTCCAGGTCCTGGGATCGAGCCCCACATCGGGCTCCCTGCTCCGTGGGAAGCCTGCTTCTCCCTCTCCCACTCCCCTTGCTTGTGTTCCCTCTCTCACTGTGTCTCCCTCTCTCTCTGTCAAATAGAAAATAAAATCTTAAAAAAAAATAATAGTATTCTGGTTAAGTTAGTTAATCAGGGAGGTTAAGTTAGTTTCTCAAGGTCAAATGGCCAGTTAAGGGCAGATCAGAGTTTGATCTAAGGTCCAAGATTTTAGCACTACAAATACTTCAAGGGAGCCTGGGGCTGACACGACCTGGTATAGTGCAACTCGAAATACCTAAAAATATCTCCTCTATAGATATAAAAAATTCTGTGTTAGGTGACTCATTTGTCATAGGGCATCAAAAGTTCATGTAAACAGTTATCATTTAGAACTGTGTCATCCAAGATGGTAACCATTAGCCATATGTGACTACTGAGCACTTGAAATGTGGTTAGGTTGGAAAGAGCCGTGGTGTTATTCTAAAATACACAGATTTAGTATGAAAAAGAAGATTGTAAAATATCTCAATCTTTATACTGAAATCATATTTTAGATCTATTGGGTTAGATAAAATATACTATTAAAATTAATCTTATCATTTTCTTTTTCCCCTTTTCAATGTGGCTAATAGAAAATTTAAAATCAAATTCATGGCTCACATTACATTCCTATTGGACAGTGCTGGTCTGGAAAATCTCTGAACAAAGAACTTCAAAAAGCATATTTCCAATGGGAGTGAGTATATCAGAGAAGGTAGACAGGTGCTGGGCTGTGTTGAAATTAAGGTGGACCTAGGTGGCTCTGAAGAGAGGTCTTTGTGTAGCCAGGTGGTAATTGAGGCCATTAATGCCTGGTTTTTGGAAATGACAAAACAAATCACTGAATCTTGGAATTTCATGATTTAAGAAATAAATGCCTTTAATAATAAATGTCCAGTTAGTAATGGGAAGGAAATGCCTTGGACTCAGTGTCTGAATGTCTGGGTTCTAATCTCAGCTTCATCTTTTATTAGCTGGGAGATCTTGGGAAAATAATTTAATCTCTTTTTTTGTATGTATAATGAAGGAGATAAATCTGCTTGACCTTTCTCAGAGGGTTATTTCAGGTATTTTAACTTATTCAAAAGCCCATCTAAATTTCTGAAGCACTGTGCAAATATAAGATATTAAAAAGACATTGCCTATGTTATAACATCTGGCTGTACAGAGAGTTGTTGATAATTTTCAGAGTGGATAATTAAAGACAATTTGGCATTGAACATATTAGTGTGTTCATGCTTCTGTCTATGCAGGAGAGCAAAAGGAAGTGAAGATGAAGAAAGCCAATAGCTCCCATTTTTTTCTTCTTTTTTCTATCATAGTTGCAACTCCCTAAGGAACTTTCAGATGAGAATTCTGGAACCAAGCAAAATCAGGTAAATCAGGCTGAGATAATAAATAGAATAAAAGTTGCTGTAGGACGATGTTTTGGGCTGAGCTACTTGCTCTGCCCAAGCAGGCAACTTCCTGGGTTGGCTCTTTTCAGAGGCAAAGGCAGCACAATGCTGCCCTCTGTTGTTAACAGCGTGGCATGACCAGCTGGGGGCATTTCCCCATTTTTCTTAAAACAGTCAGTTCCCCAGCCCCAGGCTTGTCAAAAGTTCCTACAAAGGACCTAGGAGAAGCCAGGGGTACCTGAGGCATTCTCACCCCTGTGTCAGCCTCAGGGAATACTGGCTGAGGTTGAGTCAACCTTAAGGGTGATTGTTGACAGCCATGACTCCTCAGACATCTCTCCATTACTTGTTGGCCAACATTCAGGGAGGCCAATGTCCTCCTGGGCCTTTTTGTTGCTGTATGTATCTGGAACTAAAACTCAGGCTCCAATCCCTCAGCCCTCAATTTGACACAAAGAAGTGTGGACAAATGTAAATGACCTCTGATGATCCCACTTTCCCATTCACCTTCTGAGGTAAGGCTCCAGGGGCTGAAATTCCGGAAGGTGGCCTTGCAGTTTTCACAAAATTCCAGGGGCCCAGGGCCATCTAAAGGAAATCCCTACACAGTATTCACCTGTGGGATCAGACTTAGCTACACTCTAGAGAACACATAGGGTTTTTAAAATTCTAAAGAATTTAAAAATAGTGCTTCTTTCTGATCACTAAATTAATACGTATTCTTTGTAGGATACTTGAAAGTTACTGAAAGGTACTGTGATTACACCCCCATAAACTATTCATTATTTTGTTTTATGTTCTGTAATTCCTTTTTTTATATTTCATATAATTAATAAAAGGCAACAAACCCTACCCCAAAACAAAAACAAAAACAAAAGGCCAGGACCCAGACTACAATGTACTAAGGATTCCTACTTTTTTTTTTTTTAAGATTTTATTTATTTATTTGACAGAAAGAGACAGCGAGACAGGGAACACAAGCAGGGGGAGTGGGAGAGGGAGAAGCAGGCTTCCGGTGGAGCAGGGAGCCTGATGCGGGGCTTAATCCCAGGACCCTGGGATCATGACCTGAGTCAAAGGCAGCCGCTTAACAACTGAGCCACCCAGGTGCCCCTAAGGATTCCTACTTTTAAAAAATGAGAAAAAAATCAAATGATCCAGTAAAAGATTATCAACAGATATAAGCAAGTAGTTTAAAGAAGCTGTACGTGGAATGGTGAATATGCATAGATGAAAAGACACCCAACCTCAATCAGGGAAATGAGACTTTTCCCACCCAGTTTAAAAGTCTGATAATAGTAAAGTCTGGTGGAGATGTGGGGGATCGGGAATATTCGTATCCTACTTTCGAGGGTAAGTGTGGTGTAGCCTCTTTGAAGTAAATTCTATAACATCTGCTACAGGTGAAGACGCAATTCAGCTTATGTTCCATGACAGCATATACATACACTTAAAATAAAATTGGAACCATTCATTAATTCTATTTAATAACCTGCTTAAGTAAAGAGCTTAAAGACACATCATGAACATTTTTCTGTTGTTAAACAAGAAAACTTATTATTAAAAAGCCTCCAGAAGAGGCTCCTAACCCATGCTTCCTCTCTGCACTTTGGGGGGCCTAGCATTTTGGTGCTTCTAAAACATTTATGGACTCTGACCTTAACAGTCTATATTTGGACCCTACTAATCTTTTTGGCTCTCTTGTCAGGTCTCTTAATTCTCCAGAGCAGCTTTTCCACATTTTCTCCATTTCCTTAAGCCTCTAATTCTACATAACTTTTACTCTCAGCACATGATCTGACCTTCTATTTTACAGGGGAATTAGGAATCATTAGATAACTCTGTTTTCTCCAATCGACTCTATAAATTGAACTGCATTACTATCTGATTTTGTCCTCTTTTCTTTCTTTTACAGTGGGAGAAGTGTTTCCATCCATACCTCAGGCTAATCTCTATTCCTAGGCTTTTGAACTCATGCCTTTAACCTTACTGGATCACATAATGCTTCCATTTCCATATCCTCAATATCTTCTACAGCACTTAAATATTTCAAGTCATTCCCAGGATAAACCATAACAAAGTGGCCTTGATCCAAGCCTTCCTCCAGATACTGCCCTAGCTCTTCTCTCCAACACAGGTATAGGAACAACTGTGGCACATTAAAAAAAAAAGGGGGGGGGGGCACCTGGGTGGCTCAGTTGGTTAAGCGACTGCCTTTGGCTCAGGTCATGATCCTGGAGTCCCTGGATCGAGTCCCTGGATGGAGTCCCGCATCGGGCTCCCTGCTCAGCAGGGAGTCTGCTTCTCCCTCTCCCACTCCGCCTGCTTGTGTTCTCTCTCTCTCTGTGTCTTTCTCTGTCAAATAAATAAATAAAATCTTAAAAAAAAAAAAATCAGACTTCTCCGTTCTCCTTTTCAAACAAATCTATTCCTAGACACAGTTGAATTGTCCAGAGGTGGGAACTTGACCCAATCTAGGTTATTTGGAGTTCTTCCCTAATTTTTTGTTTATTAATCTGGGTATTATTCTATTA